CTCGCCCTATTTTATGAATAAGAAGACTGAAGCCCAGAACTAACTGCTTGAGCACCTCTGCCGTCCAAGTGCTTCCAGGAGCTGGCCCAGCCCCTGCGTGGCGACCAGAGAAAGGCGTCATCCTGCCTTTTTTTTTTAGCTTTTCGCTGTGGGGCATGTGCACTCACAGGAAAGAGACAGATGGTGAGAGGGAAAGTGAAATCATCCCTGCCCGGGGCGGGGGGTGAGGGGGAGTTGGACACACTGCAATCCCTTCTCCTCTCTCCTGGGATTTGGGGCACATATGCATCCGTGCCTGGTGTGATTTTCAAGCCACCAGGTCTGCAGCGGCCACGTGGGAGTCTAGTACCTTAACCATCACGCCAACTGCTGGTGCCACATCACGCCATTTTTAACCATTGTTACAGTGCTGGGGTTCGAACCCAGGACAGTGGTGAACCTCAAGTCCCTGCTCTTCTCTCTGGGTGGTGATGTTGGGGCTCCTAGCAGAGTAGCCTCAGCTTGTTAAGGATGGAGATGAAACTGGGGGCTCCAGACACCTGGTCCAGTGCTCTCCCAGCGGTGGGGGGACCACCGCTCCCTGAGGAGAAACCCACCAGGTCCTGACTGGGAGCCTCCACGGCAGCCCTGACCCTGCCTGCGTTTCAGGGCTCAGTCTCCCGCCTGGGCTGAGATCCCAGCCAAAGGCTCTGCTCTGCTCTTTTATAAAAACGTGGCAGAGGGCATGTACACTTGCTGGAGAGACAGAGACAGAAAGAATGAGAAACTATCCCCCAGGGGGGTGGTCACACCGTAATCCCTTCTCCGTTCTCCCTCCTTTTAGAATTTTAGGCATGCACACACATGCACACAGCATGTCTCTCAAGCCGATGGATCCAGGACTCGAACTGTACTGTCGGCCATGTGGGATACCATTCTGGTATCCTAAGCTGCCTTAACCACTAGCCCATGGCTGGCCCCTCTGCTCTGCTCTGTATGCCTGCTCTAGTAACTGCTGTTTTTTTTACTCCTTTCCTCCTTAAAATTATCCATGCCATCCCCCAGTCCCTGCCTGCTGTTGCTGGTAAGTTGTGTGTGTGTGTGTGTGTGTGTGTGTTTTATAGCAATTTTTGCTATAGGGCGCATGTCCTCTCCAGAGAGATAGAAAGCAAGAAGTCACCACCAGAGGGATGGCTATGTCGCAATCCCTTCTCCTCCATTCTCCTCTCAGAATTTTGGGCATGCATGGACACGCACCTGGTGTGTTTTAAGCCAATAGGTCTGGGACTCGAACTGCGGTTAACTGTGTGGGAGTACAGCCACATAACCATAATGTGCCTCTGGTAAATTTTTTTTTGGAGAGGTTTTTACTACAGGGCGCGTGCGCTTGCCAGACAGAGAGAGACAGAGATATAGAAAGCGAGAAATCACCCCCTCCCCCCCCCCCCCCTGAGGGACCACGCCGCAATCCGTTCTCCTCCATTCTCCTCTCGGGTTCTTGGGCATGCATGCACATGTGCCCTGAGTGAGTTTGAGCCACTGAGTCCGGGATGTGAACCGCAGTCGACTACATGGGAGTCCAGTGACATAGTCATTATGCTAACGGCTGGTCCCGATGATTGGATTTTTTAAAAAAGAATTCCAGGAACCCAGAGGCCCCTAGGCATTCCAGGATTCACTGAGGATGGAATTGTCCTTTTCTGGCCTGAAGATGTCTCCCTGATAATGTCACAGGGTCTGTGGGGCCCTTGGGCCTGACTTTACCACCACCCCAGCAGGTCCCAAGGGGGGGTGATTCCCTTAATTAGACATTCCACCAGAGAGGCTGCAGAGGCACAGCTGGAACACGACTGGGCTCATGTGTGAAGGTTCTGGGTTCATGTCTGGGCTCTCATGCACATAGAGGCTGCGGTAGGGTGGGGGGGGTAGGGTGTGAGTGTCACAGCATGAAGCCTCTGTTGGCGGTGCTTGGAAAAAGGGAAAAATACGCAGCCAGGGATGGTAGTAGCTGGTTATCAGGTGCTGGCTGCTGGGCGACAGGCGAACTGCGGACTACAACGGCCAGCGAGTTGAGGATGGTTGCGCCCATTTAACACAGGAGGAAACAGGCTGGGCCCCTCGATAACCTGAACACAGTCACAGAGCCAAGAAGGGCCAGAGCCTGCTCTCCTGTTCCCCTTGGTCTAGGGCCAACCTGCCCGTCTCCATGTCTCTGGTGACAGGTCCTGCGGAAGCCCTGGCTCCTTTGCGGCTCGACCCTCTTTCACTGCTACTCCCCTACACATCATGCAGGACACCCCAGGCCTGCCTCCCTCCAACCCCGAGCTGCTGCAGATCTGGACTATCCTCTCAGAAGGGCTAAAAAGGTTGCTGCTTGCTCCTGGCCTGCCCTTTGCCAGCTGCAGTGGGGCCCGAACCTGCAGTCTCCTGGTGTTGCTTCTGAGTGTGCCGGACATGCCTCCCCAGGGCTGTGGTCCCGAGGGATGACCGTGTCAGCCTCCTGGAGACCTCTGCTTCCACAGGCTGCCCACTGCCCTCCCCAGCTGATGTCTTCGGGGATTTCTTAGGCGGTGACTCACCGGGAAGTTTGCGTCCTGGACCTGTTCCGTGGGCTTTGCACTGCACAGGACCTGACCTCCAAGTCTAATGCCCTCTCTGTAACAAGGAGCCCTTCACTACATCCCACCTCTGCGACACTCCCTCTTCCAGCCACACTTCACCGCACGATCAAGTGCTAACGTGTAGTTCTAACTAACTCCATGTGGCGTCTGCTTTCGGGGAATGGCATTCCTTCTAATGATGGTTAATAGGACACAAGTCGGTTTAACACAGAAAAGTGACTCCACTAGGAACTGTGGCCTATGCCAGGTCCATGAGGGGAAGTGTTCTTCTTTTCTTTTTTTAAAAAAAATTTTGCTATAGAGTGTGTGCACTTGCCAGAGAGAAGGAGAGAAAGTGAGAAAGCATTCCCCAGAAGGGATGACTATGACGCAATCACTCATCCTCGATGCTCCTCTTGGGATTCTGGGTATACACGTACATATGCTGGGCATGTATTTGGAGTCGCTGGGCCCAGGACTTGAACTGCGCTTTCAGCCACATGGGATGTAGCTGCTTTAACCACCATGCCACCCAGCTGGCCTGAGGGAGCTTTTCTATGGTGAGTCTCCTGCCATCCCTGAGTCATGAACCAACAGTGCTTTCTATTGGCCTGTGGCTAAGGTGGCCTGTCCTCCAAAGGAGAGGGTCAGAATCCCTCTCCTAAACCAGCCACATGTGCTGGGCCTGCTGGACGTCACCTAGCTACTAAGAGGTCAACAGCATACATAGGTTGTTCCTAACATTCTTTTTTTTAAAAAAATAATTTTTAGAGAGGTTTTTGCTATAGGGCGCGTGCACTCACCAGAAAGACAGAGAGACAGTGAGAAATCACCCCCCTGGGGGGATGGCCACACTGCAATGCCTTCTCGATTCTCTCTGGATCTTGGGCATGCACACACATGCGCCCAACGTGAGTTTAAGCCACCAGGTCTGGGACTCAAACCACAATTGACTACCTGGGAGTCCAGCGACATAGCCATTATGCCAACTGCTGGTCCTCGTTGTTCCTAATACTGACCATTAGAGGTTGTAGTTTCCCCTAGTAAAGCAGCTTCTGCAAGTGAGGAAATTGGGCCCTGAGGGAATAAGTAAGTTAAGACCTCGCAGGTATCAAATGACAGGCCACAGTTGAGCCCAGGTCAATGTGGCTGACAGGGGTGACAGTCTGTATTTACAATGACTGCCACACACAGTTGCACAGGGTGCTCACTGCAAGGGGCAGCCAGCTGAAGGGGAGACTGGAGGATGAAACCCAACCAGTTTCCAGTCCCCCTGTGCAGCGTGGTGCAGCGGCTGCCCTGTCTGCCTAGAGGGGTGTCGTGGGAAACTGACTATTAACTATCAGTGTGCACTCCTTGCAGCATCACTTTGCAGCTCTTCCCATCTGAGGGGAGGTGGTCCTACACCCTGGAATCTGTGCTGGTCTTGTGACTAAACAAGTCAATGAGATGTGTCAGTGAGGTTATGCCAGCTCAGGGCCAGGCCTGAGCAGGTCCTGCGGCCCTGCCTGCTCCAGGTTAGCCATGCACACAAGCCTGGGCTAACCTGCTGGAGGAGGAGAAAGCTGTGACCCAGTCATGCCCTCCCAGGCAGCCAACAGTCAATCAACCACCCAGCACATGGACGAGGCCATCCCAGACCAGTCGGCCTACAGCTGGCCTGCCTACGACCCCAGACTCATGAGAGAGCCCAGCATACTTGGGCTTGCCTAACCTGGATCAGCATCACTACCCAACTGACCCAAGAATTCGTGAGTCAGAATCAACACCAACTATTGAAGGTACCTATTGTGGGCTGAACTGAGTCTTCTCCAAATTCCTATGCTGAAGTCCTAACCTTCAGGACCTCAGATGTGACCTTGTTTGGACACTGGATCCATTCAGATGTCACTAGCTAAGATGAGGTTGCACCGGAGTGGGGTGAGCTCCTACTCAGACATGACCAGTGTCCTTGTAAAAGAAGATACTTGGACACAGACATGCACATGGAGAGACTGCCGTATGAGGGCTGGACTTTGGTAGCCACAGTGGAGGAACTACCAGAGGCTTTGAGAGGGGCCTGGAACAGGCCAAGCCCAGCCTGGCTCACACCTTGGTCTCAGACTCCAGCCTCCAGCCCAGCTGCCCCAGGAAACAAGGGCAGTGCCTTCTAATTCACACAAAGGCCGGGTGGAGGCTGGCTTCCTTGCCTGCCTCCAGGGCAGTCGGCTACCAGGAGGCCCTCCTCCTGGTCCCCAGGTGACTCCTGGGGCAGTGCTGAGAAACCCCACCCACTCCTACTGAAGATCAATCCTTCCCAAGAGGCTTCTGAACTTGGAAAGGCTTCTCCATGCCAGAGACCTGACAGGGGCTCTAAAGTTCTCCATGTGCTGGGGTGGGGACGCAGGCTCTGCCCAGCCCCAGCCCCGGGTAGTTGCCTACCTGGGTTGCCGAGGGCCATGGAGTCATAGATGAGCTTGCAGGTCTTGAGCAGGATGGCGATCTTTTTCTCAGGGGAATAGGCCTTGTGCATGCTGGCAAACTTCTGCAGGATCTTCTCCATGACGGGCACCTCGGGCACGCTGGTAGTCACGCCCAGGTCGGTGGTGGTGGTGGCCAGGATCACCAGCTGGTTCTCCTTGAGCTGCTGCAGTGAGCCGTCCTTGCTGTGGATCTCGTGCAGGCAGGAGTCGATGGCTTCTTTCAAGGGCTTCAGGACACACTTGTACAAGGCAGACTCCACGATTGCTTCTGTGGGGCAAGCACATGAGGTAAGGGGCAGGGCCAGCTGCAGCGATCCTGCCCCCTGCCCTGTGGCCACGGCCCAGCAGCCGTCCCCAGGCCCTGGTCCCTGGAAGCTCCCGGAATCACACACTCACAGGCCCGGCAGGTATTCCCTGTGGTTCTGACACACAGAGACAGGGTGGTGCATTCAACGGAAAGCCACACTGTGGAGAAGCCAGCACAGGTGCCCAGCACCGACACTGACTGGTCGTTTTCCTAATGCTGTCCGCAGGGCCAGGCTCAGAGCACCCACAGCTGTCCACCAGGGCACAGCTTCTGAGCACGCTTCGTCTGGAGCTGGGCAGTGTACAACCTGGGCAGCTGTATGCGGCCTGGGAGCTCAGATAACTAGCATTCTTCTTCCTTTTTTTAAGTTTATTTATTTTTTCCTGAACGAGAGAGCAAGAGAGAGATATAGAGACAGAGAGAGAGAGAGAGAGACATGAACCCTGACAGGTCTTGCCACTCTGCGGTCCTTCCCCTAGCCTTCCAGTCAGCCAGGGTCATGAGTGCACCTGTTGGCCTGTTGGGTGCATTCAGGTCAACCCAGGATCCAGGCTCTGGGCCTTCCTGTGTGGCTCCAGGATCACTCAGCAGCACTCTATTGCCCGTGCTGCTGTAGTTGATCCAATGACTGGAATTATGCCTGATGCGTCCCTTCTTTCTCTCTCTCTTTTTTTTGGAGAGGTTTTTTGCTATAGGGCGTGTGTGCTTGCCAGAAAGACAGAGAGAGACAGAGAGACAGAAAGTGAGAAATCACCCCCCAGGGGGGATGGCCACGCCGCAATCCCTTCTCCTCCATTTTCCTCTCAGGATCTTAGGCACGCACGCACACGCGCCCGGCGTGAGTCTAAGTCACCAGGTCTGGGACTCAAACCGCGGTCAACTACATGGGAGTCCAGCGACATAGCCATTATGCCATCTGTTGGTCTCTCTCTCTCTTTTAAAAAATAATTCGGGGGTGCATGTGCTTGCCAGAGAGAGGGATTCTCCAATGGGGCACAGTCATGCTATGATCCCTTCTTGTCCACTTCTCCATCCTGTCAGGAGTTTGGGCACACATGCTGATGCACCCACAGTGTTTCTTAAGTTGCTAGGGCTGGGATTTGAACCGTGGTCAGCCATGCGGAATTCAGCTCCCTTAACCATTAAGCTATAGGGCCAACCGAATGCTTCACTTTTCAATCCCCTATCCACTTGACTCTTGTCTCAAATATGTGGCCTACCCAGAACCTGGCTTCTCGTCACTGCCACGGATGCCGCCACCACCTCCTGCCTAGGTCCTGTGAGCAGCCTCTTGCCCTGGCCCTTGTCATCCATTCTCAGCACAACCACCAGTGAGTGGCACCTGCAATGACACCGTTGATCACGGCAGTCTTCTGTCCAGAACCTTCCAATTTTCCCAGCGCATGTGCAATCAGTCAAAGCCTAGTCCTCTCGGGGCCTGTGTGGCCGTGCCGTGAGCTGGCCCCGATCCTTTCTCTTGCGGCTTTGCTTGGCCCCTGCTCCTGCTGCCCTGCCAACCCACTGGGCCTGCTCCAGCTATTGCCTTTGCCTGGAGCAGCCACCGCGCAGCCACCCACATGGCCTGTTCCTTCACTGTGCAAATGTGAGCTCGTGTGGGACCGTCCTGGTCACCTCCTGGAGTACACGCTGATGGGCTCTGACCTCAGAGCAACTCTGCAATGCTGCTACTCTCACTCTAAAGACAGACCAGCTTAGGTTCTGATGGTGTGGGCCGTGCAGCCAGCTGGGGCTGACCAAGGACTTGAACTCACGTCTGCTTAACCCCAAGGTGGGGCTCAGTTGTGTTGCAGGACAGTAGGGGTGTATTCTTTTTTTGGAGAGGTTTTCGCTATAGGGCGCGTACGCTCGCCAGCCAGCCAGAGAGAGACATAGAGACAGAAAGCGAGAAATCACCCCCCAGGGGGGATGGTCACACTGCAATTCCTTCTCCTCCATTCTCCTCTCGGGATCTTAGGCACGCATGCACACGCGCCCGGCGTCAGTTCTAAGCCACCGGGTCCAGGATGCGAACCGCGGTCAACTACGTGGGAGTTCAGCGACATAGCCATTATGCTAACTGCTGGTTCCCAGTAGGGGTGTATTCTCAGGGTGTTGTTTTCCCATCCAGGGGATGGTCTTGGTTACTGGCCCAGTAAGAGGAGGTCCCAAGTCCTGTCCCTGCCCTGGGCTGCCCTTGAGGAGAGGAACGGGTCGTGCCCCCAGGGTTGAGTCTCCGTGGGGCCCAGACAGCCTTTCCCTGCCATGCAAGGCTGGGGCTGGTCTACGTCTGGGTTTGAGGCCATACCTGAGCATCCTGGGTCCCCATTCTGCCCCTCCTGCCCCCTCTTCAGCAGAACACATAGCACGTCACTGCCCTGCCCCCCACAGCCCTGCACACAGCCAGGCCTGAAGCCCAAACCCGTTGTCTTCTGGGCCCAGGCTTTCCTGCTGCCCAGTCCCCTTCCTCGTCCAGGGCCTGTTTCCTCACCTGCAGAATGAGAGGGCTGTGCCCAGCTCTGCCAGGTCCCTGAACGCCTCGTGCCACCTGATCTCCTCGGGCACGTCCTCTCCAGACCAGCCCTGGCAGCAATGTGTTAGACTGTCCTCTCCCAGTAGTTTCTTGTGTCTGGCCTCCCTACGGACACAGGATACCCTGGGGGCGGTGTTCTGCCAGCTCTGCGTGGTTTAGGTACGACTGTCTAACTGGGCACACGGGCCGGGTCCGGAAGGGAGAGGCAGCACAGACAGTGGTGGAGTCACCGAGGGCCCAGGCTGCTCAGGCCGGATGCCCAGCTCCCTGCCGGCTCCCAGCCTGGCCTGTGCATCCTGGCCAGGTCACTGGGCATCTCTGAGCCATGGCTTCTTGGGAATAACAGGACCCCCAGCCCAGTGGATTTGGTTTATGGTCAGGAGGCTAAAACCTGCAGTGTCTGAAACGGTGCCACTACTTTAAAACATCTTTCCCTTCACTCATGAAGAGTGAGTGTGCACACATATGAGAGAGAGAGAGAGAGAACGAGAGAGTGTGTGTGCATGAGAGTGAGCAAGAGAGAGAGCGAGTGAGAATGAGAGAGAGAGAGAGAGAGAATGAGAGAGTGTGTATGCATGAGAGTGAGCAAGAGAGAGAGCGAGTGAGAATGAGAGAGAGAGAGAGAGAGAGAGAACCACCCATGCCAAGGTCCAGCCACTCTGTGACCCCCTCCCTCCAGCCTGTCAGATCTGGGGGCACTTGGGCCTGGTGTGATGCAGACCGACAGGGCTGGGCATTTGAACCACGGTCACCACGTGGGATCTGGCTTCTCCTGAGCAGGGCGCTCAGCACAGAGTCGGCCAGTACTATTACTGTCGTGTCAGCTTTGTTCCGGTCCCCCGAGGGCCCTCCTCTGCTTAGAACCCTCTCTGCTCCACGCTCGCACCCACGGCAGGCTCTTGGTCACTCTTCGTGCTCCTGCCAGTGCAGACCCCAAGTCTAGCACCCCTCAGCATGCTGGTCCCTGAGAGAGTAGGCCTTCACACATGCCCTGCGGTGAGGCTGCGTCCGGCCGGCTGGCCTGCCTGGGCTAGGGTCATTTGCTGTTCATGCCAAAGGCCCAGCTCACACTAATCACTTTTGCTTCACCCACAGCCTCTGGTCCTGGCCCTGTCCATTCCTTGCCGTGGGGCCAGCCTCCCGACATTTCTCCCACTCCAACTCTTCCCCTTCATCCCCTCCATGGCTCCCCAGAATAGCCCTGCCACCCTCCAGCCTCGAGCTTTCTGTCTTTTGCAGAAAAGGGAAGTCCTTCCACCTCTCTTTCGGCCCTCTCACTCCTGCTCCAGGCCCAGCTCACAGCCAATCTGGAAGGCAGCTGACTGCAGCAGCTGCTGGGCTGCCCGAGCCGTCCACACCCTTCCCTGTCCTCCCGTGTTCTCTATGCCCCCAGAGTGCGCGTGCCTGGGGTCAGCCCTCTGATGTGGGCTGGGGCTGGTCCATGTCTGGGTTCGAGGCCAATCCTGAGCATCCTAGGTCTCGGGGCTCTTTCCTGC